ATAATTTATTTTTCTTTAGTGATGCATATATAGAGAGAGAAGGTGTTTGGTCCCAACTGAAGTTATAATAAATCTAATTTTACTAGATCTCTCCCTCCCCCCCAGGTGTAGAAAATTTTCAAGTGCAGAAGTTTATTTGCAGAATTAATTCATTTCTGATAAACTTATTATCATTAATTTTTTTATATAACATGTTATTAAGTTGTACCACATTTGACTACTGTGTAATAAAATTTATTTAGGGCAAAAAATTAACTATAATTTTGCATCTGGTGACTAATCATATGCTTCTAAGAATATTACTTTAAACTTTTTCCATAATTTTTGTATTTCAGGAACATGAAACTGTTATTTGATATACTTAAATAATAAAAGTGTGTATCTGAATCAATTAATGGATACAAATATTTTACAGGTATTTTTAGAAGATATTTGCCATATCGCTTCTAATAATTCATAAAGTATGTTAAAATATAGTAAATAATTTTGGTGCAGAATTCAAATTTAGGAGTTGCGAATTACATGGATAAATATATAGAAAATATATGCATCATGAGACTAAATGATTTTTATTGTCATGATTTGCCTGGGCTTAAAGAATGTACTTTTCGCCCGGTGGAAATTGTCATCAAACTGTCCTGAACAGGCTTTTTGTTGATAATAACTTCCAGGTTTATCAGTACCTCCTTTTGAGTGGAGGGTATGCAAATATAGTACCCAATTTAAATTACATTGTGATTTGTAATAATATTGTGGTATTAAATATGTGATTATAATTACAATTTAGGTAATTGCATTGTAATTATATTACATTGTATCTGTGAACTCTTAATTTCATTACTTATGCAATTATGTGTGTAAGTGCATAATCTAATTGCAATAATCTAATCTATTCGCAATTACAAAATAATTATAAATGCAGTTACATCTTAAATAGAGGCCATTTTAATACTTTTTAAATTTTCGCAAGATAACTTCCCATTAAGGTTCATTTGGAGGAACTATGCAAATACTAAAAAAGAAGAGTTATGCTAAATTTACATATTTTGTACAGTATTTTCTTGTTATAATGCTGTTCAATATATCTTCAATACTTTTGTAAATTTAACGACATTCTTTGCAATCACTGTGGTGCTTTAAAAAGAAGTTTCTTAGTTATGCTTTCTAATAAGAATGGGTTTAAAATTAAGTATTATGTATAATAACTAGCAGTTTAAAAAAACTTGACTGCATGAAAATGCTGTTGCTGTGTAAAATAAAAATAAGCTTTCTTTTATGCTTTGAAATGAATTACATGTGGTTAAGTCGTCCTTTTACAATTTAAGAATGTGGTTAACACACATTCTTAAATTGGACAGGTTTTATCTAAATTATTAGTATAAATATATAAACTATGAATTATTTTGTAAAATAACTCAAATTACAAAATTCATTCTATATACGTTCAAAGTTATTATCTTTTATGGGATAACTGTTTTTTAATTTAGGTAAAAATTAGATTTTTAGAAGTATTACAAATACAATGCAACACAGGTGATCTGATTGAAGAGGAAGGACTTTTTTATTACGGTTTCTAGTTCGTATTTATATTACATTTGATGAAAAGCATCCAAAACACAGAATGCTGTTTTTTTCTTTCTTCTTCCATATATGTTATGAAATATTTCACACATTTAAAAGAGAGTGTTTCTTCAGAATCTTGCACAATTATTTCCATATACCTCAGACTTAAATGACAACATATTCTTAAGTTATTTTTTTAGTATGAATTTACAGTGTTTTTATGGAAATTTTTGTTAAAATGTCATTAAGATAAATTTATTTGCACACTCTACGCTTTAACTATTTCCCCATTTGACACTATTGAAATTTACAAAATATACGCGAAATTTTTATTTAAGTGAAAACGTCTATATACTATTCGAGAATTAATAAATTATCCGAAAAGTTTATATGCGCTGAATGCCGCGCGTCTATAAAATAAATCTTTAAAAAAACAGCAGACATTCAGCCAGCGTGTGCGATAAACGCGCCAAAATTGGTAGCGCGTTCACTCCCTCGCCAAGAGAGAAAAGTTGGTGATTCAGCCTGGTTTAGAGGAGCCTTACCCTACTGTAAGCAAGCAAGACTTTTAGTTCACAAAATGAATGCCGTCACAATATGCGCTGTGTGTTGAGGAACTTTATAAGCATCATTTCCGTTTTTTGCGGCGTCAGCGAAGGTGAATGCTTTTTCGCTGTTGGGTGTTTGGAGAAGAACACAAGTTTTATATATCAGTTTTGTGGTACGATCTGAATTTATAACTTACGTTTAATCAAAGGAAACAAAAGTAATGGAGGAATATACATTACATTACCAGTGGGTATGTGAAGCTGACTGGCAGCTTCAGAGATCATATCGTAGTGATAATTTTGGCCCATGTGGAAAAGAATGGTTTTTAAGTTACACCTCGAAAGACGGCACATGCAGTGTAGAACTTCACCGAGAAGATATATCTAAATCTGTTCAAATAAAAGGCTTTCTACAAATAAGATCAAAACGCTCTCGATATATGCAGGAAGCGCTTAATGTGAACTTTACAGTGAACGCTGGTGTAATCAGAACTACAATTGCAAAGGTAGACCGCGTCACAGCAATTATGTATGGCATAATAAATGTAACATGTGCTGTATTTATAACAAATATCATCGAATTTGAAGAAAAATCACTTCAAAGTGATGCTGAATATACATGGCATACCAATGTACAAAAATTACCAAAACTGGATGACACAAAGGAATTATCGTCAACGCTAAGCATTAAGTCTCTATCCAACCTTTCACGTGATATGCAAGTAATGTATGACAGGCATGACTTCTCGGACTTCGTGCTTGTACGCAATAATTCGGAATTCCATGCTCACAGATGCGTGCTTTCCGCCAGATCTCCGGTTTTTGCCCGAATGTTTCAGTGTGCCATGTCGGAAATCACTGACAATAGAATGCTTATTGCAGACATAGATGCTGACATCTTGGAGAAACTGCTGCTGTTCATGTACAGCGGTCAAGCAAACCCGTCATCTTATTCGCAGGCTCGTGACCTTTACTATGCAGCTGACAAATACGCCGTACATGATCTTAAACATATCTGTGGTGAATTCATTCCTTCATTCCTGTCGAGTTCCACAGCTCTTGAGACTTTAATATTATCAGATAGATATCAAGATGATGACCTAATGAATAAAGCAATTACATTCATTGCCTCTGTGTTTGAAGAAATCAAATCTACTGAAGCGTGGAATATCTTTCTCAAGGAAAATTCGGCTTTGGGAACAAAGGTACTGTCTTTTGTGGTAGAACAATTGTATAAGAAACTTGACGCCGCTTAATCTTTCTTGTTATAATATATCGTAAGTTTTACTCTGAAGGTATTGCTTCTGTTTATAACTTAAAGACATAAAGATCTTGAAGGATCAGAAATGCTTTTTAAATTTCATTCAAAATTGTAAGTGATTATAATTATTTCCAAATATTTATCCCTAAAGACGGTTCATTATCAACAATATGAAAGTGAAATAATGAAGTAGTAATAACTGTAGAGAAAATATAGTAGTATATAGAAAAGTGAAGTAATGAAGTATTTTGATTAGATAATAACGTACACACTGAAAGTAACTATTATGCCTTGTTACAAATAGTTTTATTTTAAGATACCGTAAAAGTTTTTTCACTGTATGGAAACTACGCTTAATTATTAATATTCGAGACTGTTGAAATTCAGTATATATTTGTAAATTGATAAATTATGGAAATTAAATATTGCTTAACATTGAATGTCTCTTTCTTGTAAAGGTCGAATTTTTGCAATTGAGGATATTTATATTCTGTTTATACCTTAAGAACATAAAAATTATTATCTTTAAGCACCGAAAATGTTTTCTGAACTGCATTCATAGTATAAGTAATTAATACTATTTTCAAATATTTTTCCTTAATGAGGGTTTATTCTCAAATATGTAAGTGAAATAAGTAGAAACAACGGTAGTTCAATAATGGATGTTGTATATGCTTTAGCAGTATATGGAAAGTATGTTTAAGAATTATTAATGCTCAAAAATACAGAAATTGAGTGTATATGTATTTTATGTATACAATTTTGTGGAAAGGAGAATTTCTGTTCATGGTTCTCAAAATATGGTTTGTAAATACTGTAAATACCTGTGTGTTGCTTCGTATAAATTTAAGGTTTTACAATTTATTCAGCATGCTTACTAAGAGTATATTTGTACGTTTAAAGAATTTTAAAGTATATGTTTCCTTATTTCAGTAAAGCTAATTTTTAAATAAATAATTTTAAGATTTCTAAATCATGTGAATTGACTGAATCATTGAACGTTTTATTAGCGAGAATAAAAAAAGTTGAAAGAGATTGCTAACGATATTTTACTTTGTCATATATCATATCAAGAGTTTTCGTACTTTCCAAAATCATCATATTTTCTACATTTGACTTTTAATAGTCAAGCAATTTGTAAATATATATATATATATATAATTTTTTTAAAATTTTGATATATATATATATATATATATATATATATCGAAATTTTAAAAAAATTTCAAAACTTACATATTTTATGTCACAATAGAACTAATGGATCTAGTGTAAAATTGGGTGCCCCTTCGATTAGAGACAAATTTTGTTCAGTTTTAGCGATGAAACCCCATTTTTGGTTACCATGATAGTTTTAACTTTGTTTTAGCTTCCTGATGTTTTTAAGTGAAAATAGACAGATGTTTACATGGACAAAGTTAAGGCTCGACCACTTCGTATCTGATAAAGGTTTCAATGCTAAATTTGAAACATGCCTTTTTAAAACAGACCAGCGTAATTGAAGCCGGAAAAAAAAAATTCTAAATCTCTTGAACAATCGAAAACAATTTTGCATCGAATAAATTGTTGTTCGCAGCGTTGTTTACGACATGGTTCAAACTGTGATTACAACAAGGCGAAAAAATGCTCATAATTGGTATCCTAATCAATCCAAGTTTCCAAATGTTGGAACTATCCAAATTTGATATCCAAATTTCTTGTCTGCAGACCGCTACGTTTACCTCTCATGTTTGAACCATTTTCATATCCTTGGCCGCCTAAATTACTAATAGCTAAGCCATTTTGCTCTAAAGTCTTTAATAAGAATGTTGTTAGTCCTTCACCGTCGTACCTGTTGCAGGACAAAATACTAAAATCCTTTTCTTCAGTACTCACTTCTGTATTTTCTAAATTAAGATACCTCATACAAACTGAGACCTGTTCTTGATGTCTGGCACCAATAACAATCAAGTAAAAGAGTACTTGATTACTGGGGTACAATCAAGTAAAAGAGAAAAATACTTTGCCTGTTTGATATTATTTAAAACAATTTGTTTTATATTATCCCCTAAGAAGCTAATTGATTCATTTTGAATTTTATCTCAAAGCTAATGAGGCATAATTTTTTAGTTGAAATTTTAACAATATGTACAGACATGATAGGGTCAAATCTTGCGACCATTTCTACATACTTTAAAAAAAATGGCATTATTTCTTTGGAATAATTTCTTGATGAAACCAGGAAAGGCTGTTTTGTTCGGCTAAAAACTGAATGGCATAGATACTTCTTTCAATAACTTCACACCAAAGCTTAGTTTCTTTTTTAACAAATTTCGAAATTCCAAATCAACAGTTTATCCTTTCCTAATTGGTCTAAGAAATCGAACCAAACATATAGATTCCAGAAATGAATATTATTTTAGTGAAGTTTTAAAGTGTTCATTTAAGTGGTTCCAGTCATTAAAACCAGAACTACTCAATTTTACGTTGCTAAAATCGTTAAAAATTTTGCAACAAAGCAATAAACAGAATCTTTCGCAACAAAATATAGCAACCAACCCTTTTTAACTCTTTCATTGTTTGGCGAGATTCGACAAAAGTACATCTCAGAAAATGTACGTCCATTTTTGTCTTTTGGGAAACTAATATCTAGGACCATTTTCTACCAAGGCTTGTACTTGGGAAGCAGTGAGTCGAAGCAGGCCGCTTACCTTAGAAGTTTTACGCAGTTGCTGTTTGCCTTTCAGGCCAGAGGTTTTAATCCTCTTGATAAATTTTAAACGTATTTTAGTGTTCACAGTTCTCTGTACTACATACGCTTCCTGTTAATATAAGGCCAATCTTCCACGTGTATTATCTTAAAGTTAAATTAGAGTTTAGTTCTATTTTTTATATTTTTACGTTAGACCCCAAGTAGCGGGTCGGTGTATTACGAAGTACGGAAGTTATTGTAAATAGAGAAAATAAAGGGTTTTGTATACCCTTCTTGTGTATCCTGTTTACTTCCCACAGTTGTGAACATAGCTTTAGTAAGCTCTCTGTTCCGAGTCAGGTCCTTGCATGTTCCCGAAGAAGGTTAGAAGGAACATTAACCCTGATAAGTCTTTTGACTATAGTTGTAACTTCTTTCGGAGAGGTAAAGTTTGCACAGTTTCTCTACTGAAATTGAAGTGGATTAATTTCATCGTGTCCGAGTGCTTTTCTGATCTTGAGTCTTTTGACTATAGTTGTAACTTCTTTCGGAGAGGTAAAGTTTGCACAGTTTCTAACCGTGCAGCCAGTTATGAACTTTTGCTTTTTCTTTATTAATAATAGCAATACTGCTTTCCGTATAGATGGGACCTGTTGGAAGTCGAGTTTTGCTTGAGTCTGCGCGCGAAAGCCGAAAAGGAGCTATTCGGCTCGTTGAAATCAAAAATTTTATTTTGCCAGGTTTCCTTTCTTTGTTGTATAATATCTCTCTTGATTTCTCTATTTAGTCTGTTTAATGATTTCTTAAGATGAGGCCCACGTGAGATTCCAGCTTTTACGTATTCAATTTCGTTCTTTGACCTTATCTGTAATGCAGCTTGGAAGTAAGCCTTGTATAGCTGGTATTTTACGGGTGGAACTGTTATAAGCAACATTAATTTCCTTGGTGAGCGTATTAACAGCTTTATCAATGTCGCTAGGAGTCTTAAGACAGCAGTTACTAGTCTTTTTCTGAGCAAGGAGCGGACGGAATAAGTTCCAGTCGGTGCAGTTCTTGAATTCAGGAATTTTGCTGTTAGAGATTCCTAGAGTAGCAACCAGAGGAACGTGATCGGTGGTTAGATCATGCTTCACTTCAAGACACATGGGGATATAAATGGTAGAAATGGTAAGATCATAGGCAAGGAGGTTAGAATAGAAACCTCCTTGTTCATAGGAGACAACGGTGGCCACTATTAGGTGCTTCCATAATGACGTGGCGATCACTTCCGGCCCTTGTAGAGACGCAACGCTAATGGTTATTAAATAAAGGGCCCGGCCATTAAAAACAAATTATCGGTTTTCCGTATAGCTAAGAATCGGAAAGTAGACAATTTTTAATTTCAAAACACCTTGTATATTTTTACTTCATTTCATATTTCAAATAGGTATATTATAAATTCAGTGGTACTCCTTAGTATGTGAAATAATTTTGAATTTAGTAAACAAATGGTTCATGTAAAAAAAACATTTTTCGAGTAATTAAGCTCAAATTGTTGCTTTATATAAATTAAGGCATGTCAGAGTTCCATCTGATTGACTTATAGATATAACAATACTCCAATAAACCCTAATGCTACTAAACAACAATCGCTCTGAAAAAACTTTATTACGTGTAATACCTGAAATTTAGTTTACATTGGACAAACTAAGAATCATCTTAACATTAGAATAAACAACCATAGAGCACATATTAAAAAATTTGCGGTTAACAAAAATAATATTAATTCCACTACCAAGGAACTTGAACATTTTAATTTTCATGACTTCAGTAGACATTGTGCCTAATCTTAAAAGTAGACTCTTTAAGGAATGTCTGTATGGTTTGCAATTCACAACGCTTTATCCATATAGATTAAAACTCTTCTAAATCAGACTTTTATGCTACAGTTTATGGGCAGTTGAGTCCTTTAAAAAAATAATAAATAAATAAAATAGAAGACGTACCAGAGGAAAGAGGAAAACAGTTGAAACTTCTATAAATACTAATTTACTACAGTCCAAATTTCATGATTTATTTGAAAAACCAAATTTCAAGAAAAATATTTTAAACTACTTTCAATCAGTTCCTCACAGACATTTAATTATCATTCAAAATTTCGTCAATAATAAATTTACAGGAAATAATCTCATCAAAGATTTAATTCTTGATTTCATCAAATTCAAATTCAACCGTGCTTTTCCTATATATAACAAAACTTACTGTACTCTTAAACTTCCTCATAGAAATTTTGATGATTGTCATAAAATTTTTCAACAAGCTCAGGGAAAATTTCCAGCAATTACTTCTAAAATATCTGTATGCTTCAACTACAACAAGAAAACTAAGTAGTTATCTTAACAAACCAATCATTAAGAAGATTTTTCTGCCACTTGATTTTGTAATGAGAAGAAATTTCTGCCATTTGTTGACGAACGACGCAAGCATATTAATTGCAGAAAATCTCGAGATTGTTCAAGATCAAAAAATTAACAGCTTATGAAGAAAGAAACGAAATTTAGGCCAATGAAATATGTTTCTAAATTGCATGTCATCGAAAGAATTTCTACAGATATTCATAATTTCATAATTAAAAGCAAGATGTTACGTAATGCCGTCAATAAACTTCGGAAGATATCCACGAGACAGTTTTATGAATAACTTTATTGAATGCACACGATATTAATGTTTTAATGTCGCTAGTTTTTTTTTTTTTTTTTTTTTTGTGGATGGCATCAGTTTTCGGCGTTGCCATGCACGTTCTGATCCGTGTTTGCTTAGTGATAGAAGTGTTCTATGAATTTAATGTTGATATGAATTGAATTGAATTATTATATTGCATTTGTGTTCTGTTTATTGAATAATATCCTAGTTCCTGCTTTACTGTGAAACTGTGAAAATACTGATGTCAAGTGTTAACAAAGTTGTTTATTCGTCAAGAAACATGTGCAGAATTCAAGTAGATAAGATTTATTTCTTTTTCTATAAATATTGAAATTGTAAACATATATTCTAATAGTAGACTCACTGTGTCTAATTATTATTAAGGCTTATATACGTATATATTAAGAACCTGTGTAGAACCGTTGACGGGTAGTCTCGGCGTAGTTCTGATATTTTTTGATACTATTTTCGTTACAAGTGGCGTCCGCGACAGGACGCAGTGAGGTTTTTCTTAGAATTATTTTGTTGAATGGTATTTTGTGAAGTAAAACTGGTTTCATTTATCGTTTTATTATGAACCCTTTAACTGCAAAACGCGGAGGATTGCGTTCTTCCTTTACCAAGACTGTTAATGTTTTGAAAAGCGAAATGGGTAAGGATGATTTTTCAGCAGGTATAATTAAAGATAAATTTACAAAGTTCCAAATGTTACAGAAAGATATTGAGGAACTTAACGAGCGGATTTTGGGTACTTTTCCGTTTTGCCGGCGCAAGCGATGAAGTCGCCAATAATGGTACAACCGATGCCAAACGGAATATTCTCGCTGGTAACCTTTTACGCCTCATTTTCAAAACAAGTCGCCGCTTTGTCTTATCAGATTGATTGTTTCTTTCAATACTAGCATATAATTACATAGAACTTTTATCAGATACTAGTTTAGTTTTATGTCTAAGGCCATTTTCGGTAATTAAGTCAATCAGGATGCAATCACAGCGCTTACCCGAAGCCGAAAATATAGAAAAGGTAAAGTCAAGTCAAGGTTAATTCATCAATTCTAATGAGAATGCATTAACGAAGTAAAGCACTGCAGTTTTACATAATTTCTGTGTAAGCTATTCGTACGAATTAAAATATTTCTTGCATTTAAATTTGTGTTCCAAATTAAGATTTAACTTGAAATTAATGTAGATAATTACTGAGAGCATTAGATTTTTGTAGAGTAGTTTACGTGAGATGAGATCGTTTGGGTTCACGTGATATGAACCGGCGAATCAGGATGTTGAACCATGAAAGCATAGTAAATTCTTAAATTAATGTCTTTTTACGAATTTATTGTCTTTATTTATTGGCTTTTTATAAAATTTTAAGCGATATTAAAATGTTTATGGCTTCAAAAAAAGAATTCTTAGAACTAACATTTTTTAAATATTTTTTATGTGTATACCGTATGTTGTCGCCAATAAAGTCTGCTTGGCGAGATTTGCGCCGGCGAAACGGAAAAGTACCGGATTTTGAATTTTATAATTTCGACTGATGTAATGCCTGAAAAGGTTAACGGTGAAATGGAAAGCTGGGATATTTATAAGGATGAATTTATTACCATTTCTCGCTTAGTTAGTGAGAAGTTAGGTACCTTAGAACAGATAAATTTAGAAACTAGGTCGCAAGGTAGTGTTTCTAGTAATTCACCTCGTAGTACTAGATCGTTGAAGCTTCCGAAAATAGAGCTTAAGAAGTTCGATGGAGAATTATTGAACTGGCTTCCGTTTTGGACCCTGATTTGCACGAAAGTGACAAATTTCAGTATCTTGTGCAAAGCATGAAACAAGGGACGCGCGCTAGAGACTTTATTGACAGTTACCCAATGTCTGTGAAAAATTATTCAAAAACTATTAGTGCTCTTAAAAAACGTTTTGGGAATCATGATTTATTAATTGAGGTATACGTGAGAGAGCTTGTAAAGTTGATTGTAACGAATGTTAAGACAGGCAGTAGTGAAAAATTACCATTGCCGCAATTATTTGATAAGATTGAAGCACAACTAAGAGCTCTCGAATCCTTAGATATTAAAACGGAAAACAATGCTTGTTGGTTATATTCCATGGTAGAATCATGCCTCTCCGAGGAAGTCCTGAGAGCCTGGCTAAGAAGCCCCCTTTTTGGAGAAATAAAGGAAAGTCAGAATATTTCTCGCCTAACTAATTTGATGAAATTTTTAAGATGCGAAGTGGAAGGGGAGGAAAGACTTCAGTTAATGAGGAGTGGATTTGAAATTCTGGGGCAAAAAGACAAGTATAGCAATAAATCGAAAAGAGAATTAAAAAGCAAATTTAAATCGAAACAGTTAACGAATGTCCCTACGGCGGCAGGTTTCCTTACGACAAAAGATAATAACTGTATTTTTTGCGATAAACTACATGATAGTAAGGATTGTTTCGAAGCACGCTCTCTGTCATTAGATGAGAAAAAGAATAAAATTAGGCTTAAGAGGTGTTGCCTAAAGTGCCTTTCGCCTGGACATATTGCTAAGTCGTGTAAACAGTTTGTATGTTGCTATGTGTGTGTTAAGGCTCACACAATTTCTCTCTGCTCGGATCTGCAGATACAGGAAACGCAGGAAAAGGCAACAGAGCCAGACACCGTTCAGGCAACTACGGCGGGATAGATGTGTTCCACGGAGGTAGCTCTCATGACAATTAAAGTCAGGTGTTAGGAAAATCAGGCACAAGAGAAGTACGAGCGCTTCTCGATTGCGGATCACAAAAATCATACATTTTGAAGTCTACGGTACAGGAATTAGGACTAATTCCCATTGCAGAGGAAACTGTAGCTCATACGCTTTTTGGCGGGGTTAAAATTGAACCGAACGTACATAAAAAGTATCGGATCAAGCTACGCTCTCTCAATCCGTATATGAGAAAAATGGAATTTGTGTTTTTGGATCAGGAAGCTATATGTGGAAATATAGCACGGGTACCTAAAGGCCCTATTTTAAAAGAACTTAAGTGTAAAAAGATATGGCTTTCAGACATAGGAACAGGTTGCCCGAAGATAGAGATGCTAATCGGCAGTGACATTTACGGTTCAGTTCTTACACGGAAAGTCAAACAGCTCGATGGAGGTTTGACTGCAGTTGACACTACATTAGGATGGACTGTTTGTGGTCGACTGAAGAAGCATTCCGAACCACAAAGTAATGGTATATCTACTCTGAATGTAAGTCTGACGTTTCGGGACCTAAACGTATCCGATCCCTGGAACATAGAGACAAGAGGAATTTCAGATTCCAGCAGTAATTCTACAAAGAACGCGGAAGAAGATATTGCTTGTGAACATTTTTTAGGCTCCTTAGGTAAAAATGAAGAGCAAAGTCACGTAACAGAGAGGCTTCGAAATTCTTTTTATGTCGATAATTGTGTCACGTCTCTTCACACAGAGGAAGAGTTGAAGGATTTTATGGATAAATCAACTGACATTTTGGCAGCTAAGATGGACCTACGGATGTGGACATTCGGTCCTATAAACGACGTTAATAAAATTTCGAGGAATGATAATTCGGAATCTCTTTCTAAGAATCAGATTTCAGTGTTGGGTATTCTATGGGATAGAACGGATGATAGCCTTTCTATTCATATTAAGCCTATGCGAAATCTAGACAACCTGTCAAAAAGAGAAATTTTGTCGTTAACACAGGGGATTTTCGATCCGCTAGGGTTCTTAGCTCCTGTATTATTACCGGCTAAGTTATTGATTCAAGAAGTTTCGTCTATTAAAGCAGATTGGGATTCTCCACTGTCAGAAGAGGTCAAACAAAAATTTTTGAAATGGTACTGTGAATTACAGATCTTATCAGATTTGAAAATATCCCGCAGAACAGGATATGGAAACAAACAAACTTGGACTTTGCATGTTTTTTGTGACTCGAGCCAGAGAGCTTACGCGACCGTGATTTTCTTACCCTGCGAAAATAATGGTGACACATGTGTAAATTTTCTGATCGCAAAATCTCGTGTTGCACCTTTAAAAATATGACAATACCACGTCTTGAACTTTTAGGCTGTGTTTTAGGAGTACGTCTAGCAAAGTATGTTGTAGAGGCATTATCCTTAGACGAAAGTAAAAAACATTACTGGTCTGATTCCACCACAGCTCTGTCATGGATCAAGCGCAATGATCAATGGGGAAATTTTGTAGGAAATCGTGTCAGAGAGATTTGTGCACTTTCTGAGGAAAATCAGTGGTCTTACGTGCCAAGCCACTTAAATCCAGCTGATATACCATCTCGTGGTTGTACCCCTCATCAAATTCTAAAGAATTCATGGTGGGAGGGTCCTAACTGGTTAAAGAATCCGAAGGATAGTTGGCCACGCCTTGAAATTAAACCCAATGAGGCATTAATTTCTTCCAGAAATCAGAAAGAAAACTGTAGTATTAAACGTTAGTGTGAGTACTGATACATCTAAGTGGTATGAAAAATATTCTAAATTTTCAGCAATTGTAAGAATTTTAGCATGGGTTCTAAGATTTATTAGACAGCTGTCAGGCAAAATCTGTAAATAGAGCAAAATTCTTGTCTGCAGCCGAGTTAAAAGATTCAAAAAACACTTTGAGTCTACTAGTTCAACGTGAAAGTTTTTCTCAGACTGGAGATGTAATAAATGGTCTTTCAGTCGTCAGAGATGAAATAGGACTGATAAGAGTGAAAACAAAGATTCTCGCAAGAGATGATGAATTTGGATTTAAATATCCAATTCTACTTCCGTCAAAGCATCATATTGTGCAAAGTCTAGTGCTCGAATACCATAAAAAGAATTCTCATGCCGGTGTTCAAATGCTCATGTCAATGATTAGAGAAGAATACTGGATTATTTCAGCTAGACAAACAATTAGATCAATAATCAAAAAAATGCATTACCTGCAAGAGATTCACAACAAAGTCACCTTCAACCATACCTATTCATTTACCTTTAGACAGAGTACGGGACGCTCGAACTTTCGAAGTCACCGGAATTGACTTGTGTGGTCCCCTTATTCTTAGGAAAAGGACTAAAGCCTGGGTGGTGCTGTTTACATGCGCAGTCTACAGAGCAATACATTTGGAGATCGTGACATCCTTAAGTGCAGATTGCTGTGCACTCGCGTTGAGAAGATTCATCGCTCGACGAGGCCTGTCCGACAGTTATCTATAGTGACAACGGCACGAACTTTATCGATGTCTCTGGTGCATTGAACCAAATTGAGTGGCAAAAGATAGCTGCTCTTGAAACTCTAAATCCAATTAACTGGAAATTCATTCCCCCAACCGCAGCATGGTGGGGCGGATGGTGCGAGAGACTAATTCGCATAGTGAAAAATCTACTTGTTCGAGTTCTTGGTAAGTCGTCGGTTACGTTAGAGGAACTCCTCATAGTTCTTTGCAACGCAGAAGCCACCGTTAACAAACGCCCGTTAACATACATTTCCAACGATGCAGATGAAATGAGGCCTCTAACACCATCCAAATTTCTCCAAGATGTAAAAGAGATTGGAACGGCTGATCTTGATCAATTGGATAGGAACAAACTGGTAAAGAGAGAACGTTATTGCCAAGAACTACGTGAACAATTCAGGCGACGATTCCGGAAAGAATGCTTAGATCAGTTGGTGCAAAAAGCTGGCACATCTGACAAAATTTTCAAAGTTGGAGAAGTGGTCCTTGTTGGTTCTGAAAACCAGAAGAGACTTAATTGGCCACTTGCAGTAATTGAAGAACTGTATCCAGGGAGAGACGGCCATGTGAGAGTCGTCAAAGTCAAAACTCCACTTGGTCATCTCGTTCGTCCAGTCCAAAAAATTTACCCTCTAGAAGTTAATTCTTCTGGGGATCCCATTATACCAGATCAACATACTACTAATGACCCACCAGCAACATCACAGAATGACATTCCAATTCAAAAGGATGTTTCAGCAGCTCCTCGGACGTCAAGAAGCGGCAGAGTAATCAAGATACCTAAGAGACTGGGCTACTGAACTTTCGAACTTTGTTGATTTACCTCGAAGGTGGCAAATAAAGGTGGGAGGATGTTACGTAATGCCATCAATAAACTTCGGAAGATATCCACGAGACAGTTTTATGAATAACTTTATTGAATGAACACGAGACTATTAATGTTTTAATGTCGCAAGTTCTTTTTTTTTTTTTTTTTTTTTTTTGTGGATGGCATCAGTTTTCGGCGTTGCCATGCACGTTCTGATCCGTGTTTGCTTAGTGATAGAAGTGTTCTATGAATTTAATGTTGATATGAATTGAATTGAATTATTATATTGTATTTGTGTTCTGTTTATTGAATAATATCCTAGTTCCTGCTTTACTGTGAAACTGTGAAAATACTGATGTCAAGTGTTAACAAAGTTGTTTATTCGTCAAGAAACATATGCAGAATTAAAGTAGATAAGCTTTATTTCTTTTTCTATAAATATTGAAATTGTAAACAGATATTCTAATAGTAAACTCACTGTGTCTAATTATTATTAAGGCTTATATACGTATATATTAAGAACCTGTGCAGAACAACCGTTGACGGTTAGTCTTGGCGTAGTTCTGATATTTTTTGATAATATTTTCGTTACACAAGTTCTGAACTAAGCTTGCTTTCTCATCTATTTAAGGGCACTCTTACACTTTAAAACCCATACGATCTTCGAATATGTGACTGTTCCAAGAATTTGGATAACTTATTTATTTTAAAAGAAATTACTTCCAACTTTTTACAGCTCACTACATAATATAGCTGCTTTCTGAAATATGTAAAGGTAAAGGTAAAGTCTGGGGAACACCAGCGATGTACCATAGGTCAACTGGTAATACCTTCCCATATTAACTCTTAAAAAAAGGGAGGGTTGGAATTGCAAGTTTTATAGGAATTTACATAGACTGAAGCTTTCCAAAATGTCTAGAGTTTGCCTATTATGGTACATCGTGCAATCCCACAGTACGCCCTGCATCCAGTATTTAATTAAAATAACGATGTAGGACATAAGTAGATTACAAAATAGTCGGAATGCAATTTGAGAGTCACAAGATAAATTGAACATCTGATTTGGTGCAACATGCTTTCTGAAAAGGTTTGTTTTCCCACAAATATTATTATAATTTAATTCGCTTTCTGACAAAATTTTTCGTCATGTTTCCACCTTTCGCGCACTATTTAAAACATTCTGTTGCATAATTTAATTCCATATTTAATATGTAGCTTTTATAACATTTGGAAACTATTGTGAACCAAAAATTCTAAGAATTTCATGTGAAATTTTTATTTTATTTAGAGTTGAGTTTATAAAATGTATTTTATTAAAAAAATCTGTAATGTTTTCGTGCATAAAATTTTTTAATATTAAAATATTCATCAGATTTTGGGTTGTTAGAAAATAGTGCCCATATAAAGAATTCCATCAAATTTCAATTATGTACCATTAGCCATTTTTAAAATATGCGCGCGAGGTGGAAACATGACGAAAACTTTTGTCACAAAGCGGATTAAATTACAAAAATATTTGTGGGAACACAAATTTTCTGGTTATTAGTTTCCAAAGCAGCTATATTATGCAGCCAGCTGTAAAAAGTTGTTAGTAATTTTTTTTTAAATAAATAAAATGTCTCAATTCTTGCAACAGTCACAAATTCAA